ATCCTTTTAATTATGTTTGAAATTATGAACATTGCTCAACATCATGAAAATTAAACCTTATTTTCAATAAGCAATCTTGAAAAATATTTGGGGGTGCTTTACTTTTTTCCAGGTGTATATATATATATTTACTCATTTAGCATTGTTACTGCATCTCAAATCAGTTGTAATACTGAAAGCTCAAAGTGAACTTGTAATATATCTTGATAGTTTGGTTTAAAAGATGTTAAAAATGTACCCATTCTTCTTTTAACAATGCAGTGATGTAACGATATATTTCTAATTTGTTCCTAGATATTTGAAATTTTTACACTTACAGAATGAACAGTGTTTAAAGTTCAATTTTTGCTTCAGGCTGGTGTATATGTAATCTGACAGTCAACTTTATACCAGGTGAACAGGTTATTAAATATTCAGGGTAGGCCAGTCGTAAATAAACTCTGTGAATCACTTGCAGAAATTTTTTAGTTTGGTGGCACAAAATGCAAAAAAAAAATTTTTTTGAACACTTTCAATTTAACATGTGTATAACTTGATTTAGTTAAATTCCAAGGATTTTTTTAGAGGTCTTCTTCTGCTATAGTAGTTTATTGTGATAAATTAATCAGTACCACCTTTGGAAAAAGTTTGCTACAATGATAAATTTATTGGTCGTTATTTAGTATGTAATAACCTTTAACCAAAATGGATGTGTATATACTGTTACATTTAATTTTCTAGGGGTGCAATGTGGCCTTACCGTATGTTTCTAAACTTCAATCACATGTCCCATATCTGCCCAGGCTTCCAATCAAACCAAGAGTGTGGAAGGAAAGGAGACCTGGTAGACATTTGTTCTCTAAAGTCAGAAAGTAATGTTGAAGATTACCTTAACACACTCAAAAACTTTCAGTGAATGTTAAGGTTAGTTTGAGTCATTGAAATTGTACCAGTTCCAAAAATGGTTACTTTACAAGTATTGTGCTCAGCAAGGCTTTTGAAATTCACAAATTTTGTAAGTAAATTCTTTCAGGATATGTGATTGTAATGAATTGTTTTCAAAAACACAGACTACAAATTGGAAGTGTATGGTATTTATGTTTAATTACATCATTTTTCTTTATGTTAGGACTAACTCTCTTAGTATGAGGAAGAACGAAGTCATTATGCTTTTGTCTTAAATTTCTTGATGTGTTTTAGTGTAGAAAAATCGTAAGGCAATCTTTTGCGTGTAAGGGAATATATGTGTATCACTCCTCAGGGTTTTCTGCACACATAAAAAAGGAAATTCTGTGACAATTAATTTAGTTTCCTATTGTATTTATAATTGCTTTGGAATAACATTCATTATTTAGAACTAGTATACCCAAACTGAATAAATCAGTCATGTTTTGTGACAAAAAGGTCATATTAAAATTTAGAAACTAACCATGAATATTGTGTTCAGCTTTTTAAGTCTTAAGATTTGAATGGACATTAGACATGCATGCTTTACACTTGGCATTACTTCAGTGACATACTTGATAGCTTTTGAGTCAACCAAATCTTGTTTTTAGTGTCAGTCTCATAATTCTTTGGTCCTAATTTCCTTCTCATTGGTGTACAAGAAAAAAAAAAGAACTACGATTGTTCAGTGAGACTTTCTTCTGCTGGAGAGTAAACGTTTGTAGAGAGAGATAAAAGCTCCACTCACAATCAGCAGAGCCTTTGCTTATATTTTGGCCAAATATCAAACTGGGAAACACAGATGCACCTTAAGAAAATCCCACTCATTCTTGCAAAAATTTTGGAGCAAGTTTAATATAATACAAATAAAACTTCTTGTAAAATATATTCCATAAATCCTGGGATATCAGTCCCTATTTTTCTCCAAAATGGAAAACTTGGCAAGACTGAATATGATTACTACTTTGAGGAATGCCTTGGGTATTTTGAAATGCCATTGTGAACAATTCAAGAAGTTGCTTTTTTTTTCAGTACAAAAGGTATAATTCTCCAAAATATCAAAATCTTTGTTGTACAAGGCTTTTGGCTCTGAAAAAACTGATTAAAAATTAAGATTCTCTCTCATTTATTACTGGTAAAATTTAGCTACAGTAACCACAGAATTGGGAGGAAATGAAAAATATTAATTTCTTCTGCAAGGAACATGTATTGCACTTACAAGAACCAGGAATTCCAGCATGTCCATGCTGGGTTAGGTGCCAGTATGCTTGGCCTTCAGGAAAAACACAAGCCGAGCCTTGCTTGCCTCTGGATTATAGAATATATACTTGAAGCACTTGACAGATTTTATAACATCAGTAAATGACTTTAAAAAGACACCAACGATCAAGTCTAAAATGTGTGTAGCACTTGTGATGTTAATTGCATTTAGGAAAAGGGAAAAAAATACATCCCTTAAAGTTTTCAGTATATATTCACACATCTCCATTTGTAACTCCAGTTTCACTAACGGTACATGAATGGGCCCCATTGTGCTTCAGTAAATTAGACTGATTACAAATGAAAAGAATATTTTTGTAAAGTGAATTTAGCGATTTTTTCAAAAATCCACACATTAATTTTCTGCAGTCAGTAATTTTTGTCTATGATCTGAGAATTATAAAAAAAAAAAACCTTGAAGAATGACATATTATGGTACTTTGTTTTAGACTATCACTGTTGTACTAGTATTTCCCTCTATATATGATGCATTTAAAAACAATCTAATATTTTCAACATATGAGAATGCATATACACAAACTACACATTTTTTGTATGGTTTCATTTATACTTAATAAAACTTTTGTTGTGCTTCTTTCATCAAACTAAAGCATAAAATAATTATGCACAAAAGGTGCAAAACAATGTGGTTATTTACACAGTTTCTATATTATGATTTTTTGGATAAACATTTTTAACATGCAATAAAGCAGTAATCAACATTGTAATAGACAGTGATACATTTGTCTGAAAGTATACTGTGATTAGTAACACTTTACTTGCATGTTTTACTGTTGGTGTCTATTGCAAAGAAACGTGTAACAAGCTAAGTTCATTTATTGTTTGTGTTTTTTGAAGATCATGTTAGTTAAAATAAACAAGTCTGGAGGATGACATAACAGTTGCAAATCTTTAAAACCATTTAAGGACAATTTATGAAAAGAGTAAAATGATTATTGTGCTACCTAAAATAAGGTTTCCATTATTTTTATTACTACTATTGTAATTAAAGGAGTCTTGTATTTGGGGTGATGTGTTAATATAAATTAAAATGATACATCTCCAAAGATCATTAGGAGGTTGTCCACAGACAAGAGACATTTTTTTTCTC